ACTAATGACAGTTTAAGTGTCTGATTAATAATTGCCTTTTAAGAATGTGATTATGGAAATTATGATTTGGCCTTAGACTGAGAATAGCTAAGAGCATTATTATGATCTGGCCTTATATTAAGAATAATTTAAGAGCACTATTGCAATAGTATTTGAATTGAATAAAATGTGTTGATATGAACTGAACAATACCAAAACTGTGATTGTCTGAAATGAACATTGTGTGCATGATATCAAATGATTGATTATGAATTTAGATTCAGTTTATATGGATGTTCGACACATTAGATATGCTTACTCAGCTTTACCGCTGAGCGTGTAGTGTGTTTTATTTGCTACACGCAGGTAAGCAGAAAGCACAATGTGATCCTGGCGGCAGATGGGGCGAGATTGTCGGGATGGATGTGACAAGTTTTGAAACAATTTATGATATGTCAATATTAAAATCGCTTCCGCAATATTGTTGAATACTCCGTACTGTATATGTTATGAAAAATATTATTGGGATTAATAAAGTGTGTTTGAAAAGTTTTAAATTTTTACGATTACCAAGTTAAATACTTTAGTCCGAATGGGGCTGCAGACCTGGACGGATTAGGGTGTTACAAATTCAATGTAACATTCTTCAAGGGATGCTTGGATATTGTTAAACGGGATGTTACCTCTGCCTTTCAAGAAGTATTCCTTGGAATCCCCATGACCACAGCAGCTGCCAGTTCTAACATATGATTGGTACCTAAAGTTGAGAATGCCAACAAATTAAATGACTTTAGACCTATTTGTCTTTCCACTGTAGCTTCCAAAATTGCTGCTAGGTGCATTGCTAAAAGGTTGGGCAGGATTCTTCCAGAAATTATCTCTGAAGAACAAGCAGCATATGTGCCTAGGAGAGAAATGTTGGATCAAATTCTCTTCACCAAGGAGCTGGTCCATAACATCAATACGAAAGCTAAAGGGGGAAACCTGATTATTAAATTGGACCTTGCCAAAGCCTTTGACAAAGTGAAGTGGTCCTATCTTCTAGACATCCTTCAGAGATTTGGATTCTGTTCACAGTTCATCCACATGATTGAAAACCTCCAGGTGTCCTCCAAATACTCAATTCTCCTCAATGGTAAACCATGTGGTTTTTTTGGTCAATCAAGGGGAATCAAGCAGGGCGACCCTTTGTCTCCTTTGCTATTCATCATTGCTAATGAAGGATTCTCCAGAAATCTCAACAACCTATTCCTTAAAAGGTTGTTGACAGGTTTAATTGTGGGAGGCACTCCATCCCAATCACTCACCTATCTTACGCTGATGACATGATTATTTTCTCCTCTGGTGATTGCAGGTCCATTTCTAATTTGATGAAGTTCCTCAATACATATCAACTTGTCTCAGGTCAAACCATTAACTATCATAAGAGCAGATTTATGGTAGGAAAGAAAGTCAACACTTTGCAGATCACAAAAGCTGGAAAAAATCATGAATATGTCTCATAGAAAGTTTCCGTTCATCTACCTTGGCGCTACTATAGATCTTGGAATCACAAGGGCAGGTCACTGTGCGGGCCTCATTCAATCCTTTGACAACAAACTAAATGGCTGGTACCAGAGGAGTCTTGATCATGCTGGAAGACTAGTTCTCATCAACCACGTCCTGAACACCATTCCTAACTACTTCCTTGGTACCAACACCATTCCCACATCCATTTGTAACATGCTGGAACAGAAGATGGCACATTTTTGGTGGGGAGGTGGGACCAAACATCACTGGACGAAGTGGGAGGACCTTTGTCTCCCTAAAGAGGAAGGGGGTATTGGGACTAGAAGACTCAAAACCCTAGAAGTCGCTTTCTCCCTCAAACTGTGGTGGAAGGTGCACCATGAGAATAGCATATGGGCCAGATTTATGAGGGCTAAATACTGGCGAGAAGGTAGCATGGAAGCTCACTTGATTGACTCATCAATTTGGAAGAGAATCACAAGAGTTGATGACCTTGCAAGCTCCCTCTGTGATTTCCAGGATGACGGCACTCCCATATGGAATCCTGAACCTGAGGGGTTCTCTCTGAAATCTGCCTATAATCACTGTCGTGCCACTTCTAATGTCTCCAAAGCCTTCCAATTTATGTGGGATCCATCGCAAAACCCTAAAGTTAGCATCTTTATGTGGAAGATTTATACACGATCTCTATCTACGCCAGACAATCTTCGAAAACTAGGATTTCAGCTCCCCTCAGTTTGCCCTTTATGCATGCACGCCAACTACACCATTAAGCATTGTCTCATTGATTGTCCAAAAATTACCATGGTTTGGGAGCATTTCTCCAGGTGTCATGGCTTTACTCACTGTAACACCCCAACCCGCATGACCCAAACCCGTGAGACAGCGGACCGGTGTGCCACTGAATTGGTATCCGAATTTGCAACATTTTCAAAACAATTTTAAACAAACGTTCTCTCAATACATATAAAAATCCATCAGAGTAATTTAAAATAATGCGGAAGCCTTTTTAAAGTCAAACAACTTGGGATCTTGCCCGAAAACGTAATAAGCATTAAAGTTAATTAAATAAAGCATAATCAACAGATTAAAGAGACAGCCACGCCATCGTACATCTCCTCCTCAATGCCCTCTGGGATCGGCTCTAGGTTCATCTGTCTGATCACCTACGGACAGCAAAA